TATAATATTATAATATTATAATATAGGCTTAAGAGAGCTGAGCTTTTTTGCGGTTTGACGGTGGATTTTCCAGCGTCGGGCTGTGCCGTGTGTGCAGCAGAGAACATCGTCCCCGACGCACCGACATGCTACAGGAGGCTCAGCCGGAGCCTTCCTTATGCTCCTGGAGCTCCATCAGTCCTTTCTCTCAGCCTTCCTGCCAGAACAAGTTGGGCTGAAAGCACACCACTGCCAGCTAAGCCCCGTGACTTCTGATCTACAGCCGCTCCTTGGCCACTTCGCCCTTCACGCAGACGTAGATGTAGTGGACGCTGTCCTGGGTCAGCAGTTTTAGCCGATTCGAGGTCGCATGATCACCGGACAACACTTAGCCCCGGATCCATAAACTGGGTTGGGCTCAAGAGCTGACTGTTAGCGGTCCCGCTGGCCTCCTCGCTTCAACTCTTATGTGCTCAGGACGAGAGTCTTTGTCATCTGCCGACAGGGAGGCCGTCATACCTCAGCGCGTGAGTTTGCGCAGAAGCTTCCTGCTCCACTGCTCCATGCCGTGCCAGGGTGCCCATCATCGGCTTCTGCACCGTGTAAGTCTTTACGTTCCAGCCGAACTCCTGCGTCTTTGGCTCACACTCCGAAACGAGGCAAAGCGGCCCTGCAGGCCCTGGAGCCAGAGGCGGAGCTCTGGAGCTAAGTGCAGACAAGCTTCCGGGCGCTGCAAGTAGGTCAGTCTGTACCTCAGAGCTGTCGACCGTGAATCTAAATAGGGTAGTTGGCCGGACGGCGATTGGGGATTTGGGTCACTGTGAACTGTGTCTCCTCGTGTCTATCACCATGATTCCTGTTGCACGATCCTTCCTGGAACGCCGTGCAACCCTGGTCAGAAAGACCCCTCTCGAACAAGACTTGCACTACGATGCCCACATGAACCTTTCAGAACGCAGAGATGCGTCCCAAAATAAAGAGACACTCGTCTCTGACTCAACGCCGCCCGAATCCTGTGGCCCGGACGATGGCTGGCCGTGGGAGACGGCAATGTAGACCCCGTTCGGTTGCAAGATCCGAGACACCTACAGCTGAGAGGTTGCCCTCACAGAGGCTTAATGCTGGGTCAAGCTCCAGGAGTTGACTGCTGGAAGTAATTTTCATATCACCAGTTTTTCCGTGCTAACTGGCGGTGCATTTGCTCCAATGAAGTAGGGCCTTATCAACAAGAGCGTCCTAACAGCAACGCAAAGCAACCCGACACTTCCTGTCCTGGCTTCCGGCCTCTGTCAGCAGCTTTTGAGCATTGTGCGTAGATCCTTCGCCACAAAGAATGGAATCCAAGCAGGCCTGGACATGGAGCAGAGGCTGCGGCTGTTAGGAGTACTGCACATCCTCGCGGTTTTTTCTCTGCACAGGCCTTGTCGATGACAACGTTGAAGTTTGCATCCGGGAGTTCCATCGATCGTCCGTCCATCTGCTTGTATGTCATGCCTGGGGGGGATCTTGGCTCTCTCCTACCATTTCCGGCACACGCGAAGACAAGTGGGCATTCCAGCACAGGCATTTGCAATAGCTTTACATATACTGAGCAACCGACCGGGCTTGTCACGATATTTCTCCTGCATGGCTTTGGTGACCGTCAGGCACAGGTCAATGTTGGTGATACTGTGGAAGCCTTCCTCATACATCTCCTGCCAAGGCCAATCGCGCACCAGCAACATAATCATGCTGATAGCGTGCAATATAAGCAGTTTCACAGGACTCCAACGACATGGGCGATGACGAAAGCGCGCAAATCAAAACGCGGTGTTGCTCACTGTGGCTGGCATTTTGCTCCCGTTGCGAAGGTCCTCACTGAGCCTCGAGTTGCCACAGCCGAGCATCAAAATGCTGTGGGAGGGCTGCACATACTCGGCGAAAGTGTCCTGGCTTGGTCTGGGGCGGGGCCGAGGGTGAGATCTGTTTGGGGGGAGGAGGAATCAAGGCAAGACAACAAACAAACTCTCGGTCGAGAAGCGTCGTAGTGCCCCTTCTCTAACACTCTAAGCCGACATCTCAAACACACTCTCTGCAGGGCTCCTTGAGACCGGCCCACCGCTGGTACCAGTCAAAAGGTTCCGGATCTCGTGTGTAGCGCTCCTGCATTGACGAATGTAGATCTGCGTGCATCTGCTCTACAATCGACTGTGCGGAGGCCTACAGTGATCAAAGACATCAGTAGAAACGGCATGCCTGAGATCGCATACATAGGATGCCGAAGTGTCGACGTGTTTCTGGTTTTGGGTACACTTTCTCTTAGGTTCTACGAGCAGACAAACACGCACTGCACGGGACAGGCTGGCACGTCGGCTGGTCCTCCCAGTACTCGGCTTTCCCGTATTGAGCCATGGCCAAGTGAGCTTACTGTGGAGAGGGGGCGCAGACACGAACAAGAGACACACGAGGACCGAGAAGCCGCCAAACCACAAGGAACAGCGTATGACCCAGTAAATGGATAATTCACTCCCGTATACTGAAGAGGGTCTTCGAGGAACAGACGCATCCAGCACAGTCGCCGCGTGGACTCGATCAGAGGAGGCTGCGATAAGTACCATGATACCGCAACAACACAACCGCGGCCATGCTCGCACATGCATGAACAGGAAGCATTCGGCAACCCCAATCTTTTGTAATTCATTCCTTCCCGGAAATACTTTGTAGAGGAGATCGTTGTGCCGCTACAGTCAAACCTAGTGCCTGGCAACTCCGCTTCTGAGGAAGGCACAAAGCTTCCAGGATGGTCGTCCTCTGCGGCAAGTAGCCTCCAGTGTGCAGAATACTTCGTGAGGCCATGCGCGAAGCAAATCTTTTTCTGGATCTGCTGGCGCTTGTCAGGCTCTTGGGGCCGAGAGCTGACAATTCTTGGTGATTCTAAGTTGGGAGATCACACTCTTGCTGCTGCGAATCAAACAAACCGTTTCAGTTGCATGCAGCCGAGGTGCATGAGTCAGTGCCAGCTTGTAGGAAGACGTGCTTGATTGTGATTCGGTGTCTACTGCAGGTCTTTTGCAGGCAAGGTGAAGACGCTCTGCTTGAGAGCATTTTGTCGAGTGGGGTTATATCATCGTCACTGCTGTTACAGCTGCTTCTTCACGCTACTAATGCCTGCTGTAGGCCCCTCCGCACGAAACTCCAAAGTGATGGTTGAACATTTGAGAGCAGGGCTGGGCAAAGCAGCTCTGGCACCTCGGCTTCGTTGCCGCAAGAATCTAAGCACTGACCACTACGCAGAAGAGATCAACTCCACAGCTACTTCGATGCATAGAGGCTTGCCATAATGAGGTGCTGCAGAGAGGCATGTCCAAGAGGATGCGCGCGAAGCAGTCCTGCACCAAGAATGGACTTCTTGTTAGCACTTGCAGGCGTTTGCAGTCAGGCCGTGGCATTGCATTGGCAAGCAGGGCTGAAAAGGGACTGAGTAGGACTAGGGTGAGGGGCCAATCAATGATTCTCCATGAGGAGGGAAGCAGGGTGCATGCCATTTCACAACGACACTGGTGGCAAGATCACCGGAACGAGACATGTGGTTCTGGCCAGACTTTTATGCATCTTTCCTGGATTGTCCGGTCATTATTGCTACTGCTTTATTGTTGTTAAGTTATTATGATTATGAATACTATTGTTGTTGTCGATACTATTAGAACCGGTCCTCACTCGACGGGCACGCCGCTGTGACGCGGGCATCGGCAGCAAGGCGTGCACAAAGGTCAGCATACATAGGCAGGAATGGGTGCTGAACCTGAGCAGATTGCACAATATATACGATGTGTTGCAGATCATACAGGTCAGCGAGTCCATGGTGAACCATACCAACTGAGTATCGACAAGGAGCAGATTTCAGGAACCACGTGAAGACTGGAAGCCTAGTGACAACATAGCACCAGCCCTTTGGAACTGAGACGAACACCTGCGCCTTGTCAAACACCTGGAGAGACACTGGTGGCTAGAAGGTGCTCAGATGCATTGCTCTTACGGGGGTAGAATTGATGAACAATAATTAGCGACGAAGCTACACGTCCATGTACCTCCGACAGAACGCTTTCTAACTGGTCTCATCGTTGATGGCTTTGGGCCTCCTTGAGGAGGATCTGCACGTGCTCCGGTCTCCTCGATGTGGACCACGCAGGCAGCAGCATTTTCAAGCCACGACTCTAGAACAAAGTTCCCTCTCACCCAGCCTTATGCCCGAAGAAAGCAGCTGTTCATAGAGCTGGTGAAACTTCTCGAGCGTGAGCCTGGGTTGAGGACGTTCAAGCCACTTTGCAACAGCGAGGTTGGCCGGCAATGGTGGTTTTCGTTGATGTTGGTGCTATTCTTGCTCCTGTTCACTAATGAGAGCTGAACTTCCATGGATCGCCTGACCCTGACTTGACCTCAGCTAAGTAGTAGCAATGCATGCCTGAGGCATCCTGAGGCATCCAAACGCACCATGTCCGTGTAACCCATGTACGACGACTGGCTCGCCTAAACTGCCACTGGCACCACTACCACTACCACCGCCCTTGGCCCCTTTGGCCCCTAACTGCTCGTCTCTGTCCCAGTATTTGCAACTCAAAACGTCGAGCAGGTCTTGGGCACTGACTTGTTTAGAACCGCCTCAGTCAGATACAACCAACAAGTCATGTCTGGTTCACAGAAGCAGCAGGCGGCTCATATACCTGGGCGCTACCATGTCCTGCTGCCCTGTTGATAACTGATCTTGAATCGAAACGTGATGACGGCAATGATCGAACCACGTAGATAACCATAGCGACAAGAACAGCTACACCGGTGCAACCTGGACCTCATCGTGACAATGACAATGGCAACAGCAACAATAACAGAGGTACTAGCAGCGACGATGCCGACAAGATGAAGAAGTAGAAGTAGCAGGGCAGCAGTAGCAGTAGCAGTAGCAGTAGCAGTAGCAGTAGCAGTAGCAGTAGCAGTAGCAGTAGCAGTAGCTTTAGCAGTAGCAGGAGTAGTAGTAGTAGTAGTAGTAGTAGTAGTAGTAGTAGTATTAGCAGTAGTAGTAGCAGTAGTAGTAGTAGTAGTAGTAGTAGTAG